GTTAAAAAACCAACTGATAAATCACAGCTACTACCAAATATAAAATACCAATATATTATATTACATAATATGTATTACATAGATCAGACATTTTGAACTGAAAATTTACGATCAATTTTGGCAGGTCCACATCAGTTGAAGTATCGCTGGATAAATGAGACTCTTTAGCACCAGAACTTTTCAAGTAAAAGACAAGCAAAAATTCTGATGAAAGAAAAAGATACAAACACAAATATATCAATATATCCTCACCTATTTATATCATTTAAAATATCTTAACTAACTGCTTGAAAAGATAAGCTATCTGGGATAATAGAGCCATTTTTATTCAACTCATAGGCAAATCCAAGTTTCTTTCTAACCATTTTACCTCAGTAGCCTCCTTTTGCATGATACACCATTCTCTTGTAACTTCTGAATTTCTGCTAGTTTGCTGTTGGCAGGGATAAGGTTGGAAATAAAACAGACTTTCTATTGAAATCTGCATTCTCCCCTCAATGAGAGAAAGCAAAGGCATGAATATGGCCCCCTCATAATGATTTAGCTAGGGCTTAATGAAATTTTCATCACAACCTGCTGTTCATTTTAATGGCCTTTGAAAAACAATGGCGAAAAAAATAGCTTGAGGGAAGAAAAGATTTTTTCGTGGCAGATATTTGTAAAGTGGTTCCATTCACCTGCTCTCTGTTCTCCTCATCCCCATATTATTGCACTAATCACAGAACTGTAACAATGTTTTGCAGTTTGTCATTAATTTTTTCCTGTATATGTTATTCCTTTTGTTGCATCCCAGAACTACAGATCATTTGTAGTTACTCCCACACAGGGTAGACACTGTATGCAGTGTCACTTGGATGCAGATCCTTGGATGATGCCAGGTTCTGGTGTCCATTCTCTTGTTTAAATATACCCTTTAATTAATGGAGTTTTTAACCAGTTTGTATAATGACCCCAACAGTCACCCTATGACACACTCAATCATCAGTTCCCTATTTGAAAATAGAAATAGAATCAGAGTTTTTAGAATGTAAACTTTCCACTTGCTGTAAAGGCTATTATACATCTCCATAGATATGTTTTTCCATTTTTCTTTCTTTGCAGTTAAAAAAAATTTTTGAAAGAAATTTCCTTTAATATTATATTCCTTTTCTATGATACAAATTTCTGCCTAGTCATTTTTTCTTGGTGATTAAGCTGATCACTTTACATAATACATACATAAATTTCTCCTTGATATATCTCCTAACAGAGTTTAACCATTTGTGCAAGAGCAAATTTAGTTATCAATAAAAGTGAGTCTAATTTCTCCAAAGATACAGATTCCCAACAGGCACATGAAAAGAAGCTCAATATCACTAATTATTAGATAAATGCAAATCAAAACTACAATGAGATACCACTTCACACCCATCAGAATGGCCATCAGTACAAAGTCTACAAATAACACATTCTAGAGAGGGTGTGGAGAAAAAGGAATCCTCCTGTACTACTGGTGGGTATGTAAGTTGGTTTAGCCACTACAGAAAAAAGTCTGGAAGTTCTTCAAAAAACTAAAAACAGAGTTGTCATATGATTCGGCAATCCCATTCCTAAGCAAATATCAGGAGAAAACTCTAATTCAAAAATGATGACATGCACCCCAATATTTACAGCATCACTATTTAAAATAGCTGAGAGATGGAGTCAACCTAAATGTCCACTAACAGACATTGAAAGAATGGATAAAGAAGATGGGGTGTGTATATATATATATATATACACAATGTAATATTACTCAGGTATAAGCAAGAATGAAATAATACCATTTGTAGCAACATGTATGGACCTAGAGATTATCACACTAAGTGAAGTCAGTCAGAAAGAGAACAACAAACTATAAAATGTGACTTACATATGAAATCTAAAATATGATACAAACTTATTTACAAAAGAGAAACAGACTCACAGATATAGAAAACAAATTTATCAATGGAGAAAGGGGTGGGGGAGGGGTAATTAGATGTTTGGGATTAGCAGATACAAACTACTATATATAAAACAGATAACAACAAAGTCTTACTGTATAGTACACTGAACTATATTCAATATCCTGTGATAGGTCATAATGGGAAAGAATATGGAAAGAATATATACGTATAAATATGTACAACTGAATTAATCTGCGGTACACCAGAAACTACCACACTGTAAATCAATTATATGCCAATTGTAAGTAAGTAAATAAATACAGGTATGCCTATTTACATTTCTGCATACTCAGAGCATGTCTAGGAATCTTGTGTACATAAACATAAAACCATCTTAGTGGTTTTGTATTTATACAAACACCATCTTTCTGGAACTCAGGCTTTTAGATGCTTGGCATGTTCAAGTTATATTCCATTCTTCCATAAAGACTAACTCTGTATTTTCTCATGTCTTCATATTACTCAATAACAGGTCAGTCTTGAGCTAAGCTTTTAATATATTTTAAGGAGAAAAGTAAAAAAAGAAAAGCTGTAGAAAATATGATAAAACACTCTAATGTCCACACACAATAATGATATTTCCTAGTGTTAACTCTTTCTGCCTTGGATGCTCTATCTCTCTTCCTTTGACTGTGTATCTATAATTTTCTCCTCATTTCCAAATCCTTTGAATGTATCCTGCTAAGCAAACTGGGAAGCATGGTCTTTGCCCTATTTCCTGTTAGGAATTATTCATTTGGCTTCAGTCTGCCATATACTTTAAGAGTCTGTGCACCCACTTGGAAGGGAGCTCACGTGAAACACTGAGGCCAAGGCCCTAGAAGCAATGACACTTGAGTAGCAAAGAGCACACTTCATATCCAGATCTTGCTTTCTAACAACATTCTCCAATAAAAGGAACCAGGGCTTCTTAGGAAAAAAAAAACAAAACAGGGCTTCTTAGGGCTTTCACGATAAATAGGAAATATACAAGATGAATCTGCAGGATCTTACAGTGCCAAAAAGTAAAAAATGCTCAAAAAAAAAAAAAAGGCAAAATCACAGTGGTATGTCAAAGTGACATGAAAGAACCCCCCACCCCGCCATGAACAAAACTGGAATAACCTAACAAAATTCCATGAGTCAATACTGATATAAGATACTAAATAAAGTAATAAATGGCAGAGAAGAGATAAATCGCTCATAAAGAATAATTCCAAATAAATTTCTAGATGATCCACTGTAAAGGGTGGGGATCAAGGCTCCCTACTTTGTAAATACGGATTGTACACAGCATCTTCCTTCTAAAGAGTATGGTACAGAAAGGAGGCGGGGAGATTTTACAGAGGAGAAACCTGACAAGCCCTACATCAGCCAGGTGGTCAAGGTCAACATCAGCATTTGTAAGTCACACAGTATGGATGTACTCTTGATATGATGTGACACAAACAGTACTTGGTTTCTGTGGTCTTTCAACCCAAACCCACAATCCCAGTTTCATTCAGAGAAAATCACTAGAGAAATTCTAACAATTCTAACAATTCTACAATCTGTCTGAATAGCATTCCTCAAAATTTTCAAGGTCATCAAAAACAAGAACAGGCTGAGAAACTGTTGCAGCTAAAAGGAACCCAAGGAGACTTAACTAAATAGCTAAATGTAATCTGTTATTTGGTAACATCCTAGAACAGAAAAGCACACAGTGACAACTAAAGAAATTTGAATGAACTCTGGACTTCAGTTAATCATACTGTATCTCAACATAGAAGATGCGAAATAATTTTGAATGCATAAAGTTAATCATGCAAAATGAACAACATACATAAAAATAAAGACAAAAAAAGCATCATAAAGATGTTATATCAGAAAGCTATGATTTGGGGTCATTTTATTTTCTTACTTTTAATTTTACTGTTTGTAAAACAATTTTATAGTAAGAAAATATTATTTTCAATATTGGAAAAAACTTCAGCACATTAAAAGAAAAAAGGTTGTCTGGGTCTTCCTCAAAGCCCCGTTTTTAGCTCCATGCAGATTAGAGCCAAAAAGTCTTTGGCTGACTAGATTATCTCTAAAATTCCTTCCAACTGTAAGATCATGTGAATTACATAAATTTTAACTAAAATCCATGTACCAGCTATGCATCTGGTAGAGACCCAGAAATATTTATTTACCACATGACTCCCAATACCGGTTAACATACATTTTGTGCCAGATATAATTTACCAGTGTCCTAACAACAGACTAGAAATGAGCCCAACTCAGTGTTAAATAGTATAAATGCAGTATATTTTTGGTGTGAAGTATGTCTTTTTATATCACTGTTTTATGTCTGTTTGTTTTAATTTTCCATCTGACTCTGACACAGGAGGCATGCTCTTGTGTGCAGCATGGCATCCACGCTTAGGATGGACACAGATTCAAACAGAAGTTAGTGAATATCTATAGCAGAAAAGATGGCTGTCAGTTAAGCATCAATTGTTTTATTAGTTTGTTTGCTTTAATGTTAAGATTAGTCCATGAGCATATCACCTGTAAGATACTATCTGTAACTATTCAAGAGATTTAGTGCATGAAATCTTAAAAGAAAGGCATCTTGGAAGTTAAAACATGGAAACTTCAACACAGTTAAGAGAGTTAGAGAATCACTACTTTTCAAATACACACTATGTCCAACCACACCAATTTTGGATTATACAAAAAAATCGACCTGTCTATGTAGCCTAAGAGGTGTTAATGTATAAAGGATATTAGGCGATGACTATCCTGGGTTCCACTGCCACATTCTATTCCTGAATCTTTAAGTTGTACTCAACCATAATTTACTCATGTGTGAAAAAAAAGGAAGACATCACACAAGAGTTAATGATTTATAAAATTGGGATAAACGCACTTACATTTCTAAAAAAACAAGAATATTCATCTTCATAGCATTACATTTCTCTCTTCTAGCCTAACATTGAGAGTGTGGTCAGAGAAAGGAACTGGAAACTAAAACCAAACCATTAAGATTAGGAGAGTGGCAACAAATCTGTTTTGGCTGCAATCCTTTACCTTCTGGCTCATTTTTGATGAGCTCTTCCATTTTCCTCTGTTTCAAGGTGTCAACAACATCAGCTAAGCTGCCTTTGCGTCTTTCAGGAGTTCCCAGGGTTGCACTAGACAAGGACTCGCCACTCTGCCGCCCACCTTCTTCTGCCTTCTGAGGTGAGGTAGATGAGTTGTGTGGGGCAAATGAAGACATAACTTTATTGCCATCAACTTCCTGAAAGAGAAAGAAAGGAAAAAAAAAAAAATATATATATATATATATATACACAAGCATACATTTGCTTAAAATTCAGTAAGCGTTTTGATTTTAATTGGTTACATGGCTTATTCAGGACCTCTCTGATAGCTCAGTTGGTAAAAAATTCTCCTGCAATACAGGAGACCCCAGTTCGATTCCTAGGTCGGGACGATCCTCTGGAGAAGGGATAGGCTACCCACTCCAGTATCCTTGGGTTTCCTCGTGACTCAGTTGGTAAAGAATCCGCCTGCAATGTGGGAGACCTGGGTTCAATCCCTGGGTTGGAAAGATCCCCTGGAGGAGGGAAAGGCTATCCTCTCCAGTGTTCTGGCCTGGAGAATTCCATGGACTACATAGTCATGAAGAGTTGGACACCACTGAGCAACTTTCACCATGGCTTATTCAGTTGAAACATTAAAAAGTGAAATTCTAGTGTGTAGGAGCAAAAGGAATAAAGAAATTTCAGAAAGAATACATCAATATCACAGCCTCATACCAGAGTGAGACAAAGACTGATTCATAGGAGAGGGAAAAATAAGAAGATTCTCTCCCCAAGACTGAGTTCAAATAGCAATATAATCTTCTACAAAGCCTATATTGATTTTATACATATATATATATATATAAATTTTTGCTTTATATATATAAACATATATATATGTATATATATATATTTTGCTTTTGTTTGAAAGTCTTAGATTTTCCTATGAACATCCAATGCAGTGGTCACCTGTAATACACCTTCTCATGATATTATAATGTTTAAACAAATAACATTCCATATATCAATTTTCTTTTTAACTGTAAGCAGTCACCTCTTCTTGATGGTACTCCTAAATAAAGCAGGGTCCTCATTTGGTTCTCCACCTCCCTCTCATGCTTTCAAGAAGGCATCAGACACACAGGAGATTCTGACATCAGAGAGGAATACTGCAATTTCATTTCTGCTTCGGCAGAAGATCTTTCCAATTCCATGCCTTATCTAAAGCACTGGTTCTGATGATACTCTTTGCTGTTTTGCACATTAAGCCTCATCTGTCCTACAAAATATAGTTTCTTGCAGACTTTGCCTCTTCATGATTGTGTTATGTGTGTGAAAAGAATCTATTCAAGAATTCCAAAAAGTAAACATAATTTTGGTGTTCCTTTAGACATTCTTTCCCCCATAATTTCTAGTAGAACTTTGGCAATCTATGTAACTCGGGGGGTATATTTTGTATGTTGTTGTTGTCTAGTCACTAAGTCATGTCTGAGTCTTTTGTGATTCTGTGGACTCTAGTCCGCCAGGCTCCTCTGTCCATGTGATTTCCCAGCCAAAAATACTAGAGAGGCTTGCCATTTCCCTCTCCTGGGGATCTTTCGGACCTAAGGATCAAACCTGCATCTCCTGCATTGGCAGGCAGATTCCTTATCACCAAGCCTGCGTGGAAGCCCTTATATTTTATATAAGCAGCATTATATTAATTTTTTCAAACATTTTCAAGAGAAATAATATTGAAATGACAAAGAAAAAATTATTCTCTTAAAGGTTTTCTTTGTAAAATCTCTTACTTTCATAATCTTCTGTGCTGCCGCTCAGTTGAGTCCAACTCTTTGTGACCCCATGGACTGCAGCCTGCCAGGCTCCTCTGTCCATGGGGACTCTCCAAGCAAGAACCCACTGGAGTGGGTTGCCATGCCCTCTTCCAAGGGATCTTCCCAACCCAGGGATCGAACCCAGGTTTCCTACACTGTAGGTAGATTCTTTAGCATCCAGCCACCAGGAAAGCCCAAGAATACTGGAATGGGTAGCCAATCCCTTCTCCAGGGGATTTTCCTGACACAGGAATTGAACCAGCATCTCCAGTACTGCAGGCAGATTCTTTACCAGCTGAGCTGCTAGGGAAGCCCATAATCTTTCGACTTCCCATAAAAGAGAACTTTTCTTAAAAATAAGTTGCATCCTAACATCTTTGAGTAAGTTAGTCTCTCTCTAGACTTATTTTCTAATTCTACACCACTAAAATTTTCCATTAAAATATATGAGATTGTGTGCATATTTAATTTTCAGGAAAATAGTTTATACCCATGTTTCCATGCTTGTCCTTTATTTTAAAACATGTTAATAAGGATCTGTGGACCTCAGAAAAATGACAAATCACATGGATTTCATGTTTAATCTTTAAAAACGAATGCTACTATTTTTGACTAGATTAAAACATATTAAAAGTACTCAATAATACTCTCAGGTTTTTTTAATGTATTAAAAATAGAGATGTCAGCACAAATGTAATCTGTTCATACAATTTTTGTCAAAGGATACTAGTGAGTATGGGCTTCCCACACGGCTCAGTGGTAGAGAACCCACCTGCCAATACAAGAGATACAGGAGATGCGGGTTCGATCCCTGAGTTGGGAAAAACCCCTGGAGAAGAAAATGGCAACCCACTTCAATATCCTAACCTGGAGAATCCCATGGACAGAGGAGCCTGGCGGGCTATAGTCCATGGCGTCGCAAAGAGTTGGACACGAATTAGCAACTAAGCATGCACGCATTGGTGAGTACAAGGACATGAGCTATGGTACAAACATCAGTTTGTTGGGTGACATTGAGGCAATGTGGAAGAAGCATAAGTAAAAAATGTGTGTTAAAAGAATTTTCAAAATTATGATTGTAAACCTAAACCCCAAATGCTTTCCATGTCCTACAAACAGAACATGTCCCTTACAATGACTATTCCTTAATTAAATATTCTATAAAAATACATTGAGAGATGAATCTTAGCTTATAATATACTTGAATTTGGAAATCAATACACATAGTATAATAATTACAAGAACCTGCAGGCTAAGTGAAGGTACACTTTTGTAATTATTTACTTAAAAATGACACACAAATAAACATAAATACTTAAACATACATATATAGATATCTCTGAAAAGGGAAAACACATATTCATTCAGTAAACTAAGGAATGGTTTTATTAATGACCCATAATAAATATCAGCTCAGTTTAACGTGCAAATTGGAATATAGCAAAACTGCTGTATTTATTTTCCACAATCTTTCTTCTCACTTATTTCCAGGGTCAAAAGCAGAAACACCCCAAATTTAGCTTCACTTCAAACATGCATATTTTATACTCTGCTTTTACATTATATGATGATAAACTTTACAAACAAGAATTTGTCATTTGAGCTTCACATTCCATAATTGAAAACTATACACATCTTTCTGCAGCATCATCAGTACAGAGAATGGCACCCAAACTGTATGCAATGAAGTCAATTAAAATATGAGAAAAATTTTCAAACTAAAGTAAAATAAAATCATATCCCATTTTGCATGTCTCTAATTCTCTATACTTTGCAAAGAGGAAGGATCTATTGTAAAGAGTTTAATGTATTTCATAAGAATTCTAACCTCAGTTACCACAGCAATATAAAAATAAATTAATTATTTAGCATTATTGCTATTTCATGCAGGAATATTTATCTTATTGCTATTTCACCTGTCTGATTACATTTCAGCCTCTGGCACTGTTAATCCCTTTAACAGCTTCATGTAGTTAACAGATGTTTCAGTGTGGGGCTCCACTGTTCGTTTGCATGGTGAATGGCCTGAGTATGGAGTATTGGCACAGTTTTCAGTCAAGGAAGTCCTATGGTTTCCAGTTTCTACCCTGGGACTGCATTTACCATGCCTAAAGTAATGACTACACATTTCCCAGTTGAACATCCAAAGAGTCTGCTAACAAATGCCATCAGTGGTCCAAGCCAGCAATATATACTTAATTAAATTTTGTGCACAAAGCTTCAGTATTTTGCAGGAGCTCTCAGAACTGTGATGTGTAACTTCCAAATTCTAATGATAAAATAGTGTTCTAAACTTTTAGAATGAGGTTAAGAATCTTTGTTATTCTTGAACAAGCTTTACTTAATCTTGCCTTCTGTTACCCTTGCAACCATGAGATAGTGTACCTAATGTATCCATGTGTATACTCTCATCAAAATCTTTTCAAAAATACATTCTTATTAATTCCATAGATAGTCTTTTGCTATGAACACCCTTTTAAGAAAAGTATATTTCAATCTTAGTATTCAAATTTTACTTTAGGTAGTTTGGTGATTAAGAAGAATTAACTCATTTGGAAAAAAAAAAAGATAATAGGCAACTCAACCAGGTACGTTGTTATTGTTCAGTTGCTAAACTCTTTGCAACACCATAGACTGTAGCCGACCAGGCTCCTCTGTTCATGGAATTTCCAGGCAAGAATACTGGAATGAGTTGCCATTTCCTTCTCCAGGGGGTTTTCATGACACAGGCATCAAACCCAAATCTTTTGCATTGGCAGGTGGATTCTCTACCACTGAGCCACCAGGGAAGCCCAAACAGATGCGTATCTTCCTTTTATTAACTTAATGGTATTTCATNAACACTGGAGTGGGTTGCCATTTCCTTCTCCAATGCATGAAAGTGAAAAGTGAAAGTGAAGTCGCTCAGTCGTGTCCGACTCTTAGCGACCCCATAGACCACAGCCTACCAGGCTCCTCCGTCCATGGGATTTTCCAGGCAAGAGTATTGGAGTGGGGTGCCATTGCCTTCTGCATACTAATACTACCCCACTCTTAAAAACATACAAGCAAAAAAAGAAAAAGGCCACAAGCTTTTAACTATGTCTATATCTATCAATGATATGCTTGCATGAGATACACTTCTTAATAATTATGAAGAGAAGCTTTCATCCCAATACAGTCAACTCTTAAAGAAATTATATACATATCTTGAAATGAATTAATACAACTACTTACAGACTTATAAAGCTTGACCCACCCAAATATAAGGTTTATGTCATACTCCAAAAAAAACTAAACCTGAAGATTTAAATAGCTATATAAAGCAAACACATAAATTTGAGCTCAAATGGCTAATCAAAATAATGATGCTTAGTAGTTTATGCTTCTTTATCTATCGTTATGAAATATGTGGCTACCTC